TAGAATTTCTTAGAATGGTTTCAATATCCTTATCATATTTCATATTAGAATAATGTTCCTATTTCTCAATTCAAATATTGTTTTAAATTCGATTTTTTACGTACCCAGCAAAAGTCTTTAATCCAACTATGACATGATAAAATACGAATACGGTTTTGCTTAGTTAATTCTATCACATTATTGTGGATTTTAAATATCGTTTTCTCCGCAATAAAAGTGTAAATTTTAAAAGAAAATTCTGTAAGGAACATTTAAATAAAATCGTGCATTTTAAAAGTAAATTTTCTAAGATTATTCAGTATTAAATGCTTGGATTTTTATAGAAAATGTTGCAGGGTGGCCAGCTTTCCAACCTGGTTTCAATACATTCACCAATGAAAGAAGCATTTTCTCACGGCTAAGGGGGGTTTTAATTAAATGGTTACATTCAAGACTCTCGAAAGACTGATCGACCTGGAGATTAGGAGACGTAAAGACACCACCTCTCTTAGCAACTCTCAACACGCATACATAAAGGCCAAGTCTGTAGAATCTGCACTTCACGAGGTGGTGGGTTACATTGAGAGGAATATTGAAAGTTCAAATATAGAGGAAGTCTTTGACAACGTTTAACTTGAATCCATAAACCACTCAAAGAAGTTGGCATTCCTGAAAATCTTACGTATTGAATAGATAAATGCTAAAAAGCAGATTTATAAATTCAAGTGAGGCTATTGGTAATTAATAACATACTGATGGAATTGGACGGGAAAGGTATCAAAGTTGTAGCTTATTTCCGGAAAATTTCCGACAACAATCTCGGAGCTTATGTAAAGAGCCTTACTGACGCTGGGCCAGGCGAACTGCCTTGGTGTACGTACAAAGACGAACTGGTAATGCTCACTAGGAAGCGTAAGCTCGGCGTTTTTGCTCCACCAACACTGGATGGAGTGTAACTTGGGTAATGAAAGAGCAGACGAATTAGCTAGACGATATTGACATCAATCCGCAGATATAGCAATTGATTACTTAATCAAACCACCCATATGTCATCTTTACCGGAACTTTGAGACGTTTTTCGACGAAAGAACTTATGAACTTTGGCAAAACGAACCTAGGTGCAACGTGTCAAGATCCATTGTCTACCAAAAGAACGTACTCACTGTTGAACCTGAGCAAAGCTGAAATAAGAGTAATGACAGGAATCATTACTGGTCACTGCAATATCAGGACATTTACTAGTAAACATAAGTGACTGCACATCCCCAAACATAACCTAACCTACGGGTTACCATTTGATTACCGTTATATCCATAACATCTTCTTCATCAACTAGGCGTGATTTTTCTAGATATCAGTTGGGATTTGTTGTATTCAAAATGTATTCCTTAAAAAATCCAGGCTTCTGTTGGAGTTTGAAGAAATATTCTTTAAAAAATCCACGCTTCTGATGAAGCTTGCATAAACTTTATTTAATTAAAATGAATGCATCTGGAGGAGCTTGAAGAAACATTATTTAAAAATCGACGCTTCTGAAAAAGCTCGAAGAAATATTCTTTAAAAATAATATTTTATAAAATCCACGCTTCTGATGTACCTTAAAAAAATATTTTTTAGAAAAAATTAAGATTGGATAGTCATAATTTTTTTTTTTAATTGAATAGTTCGAATAAACTGCTGTAACTGTGGATGTTCGAAAAAATCTTCAAAAATTTATGCCAGGGATAGCCCAAGAAATACTATTCTGTAAAAAAATTCATATCACGCAACTCGAAGAATAAATATCCCTTAAGAAATCCGCGCATCCAATTTTTTTCTATACTAGCAAACCGAATATAGGTTATGTGTGTCTATTTTAACTCTCATAGACATCAACAATCTTGTTTTCATGATACGTTTTACGATTGTTTCAAAGTTCTTCTTTGTCTGCTATGTGATTCATGTCTTTGTTTTCTAGTTAATGCTGATTAGTGTTGTTGTTGCTAATTAGTATTCAAAGATCTCCTCTATTATAACCTTAGGCTAAAATACCTAATATAATTTAAAAAGGTTAACAAGGTCAAGAAACAAAACCATAAACTAAGCATCTGCTGATACTTTACTTGACAGTGTGTTGAGAACATATTTCACACTGTGACTGAAGTGGAAAATATTAAATTCTGAGAAGACTTCGAAAGATACTCACACTTCTCATAATTGCATTTACGTATGGAAAATAATTTTACTTGAAACATAAAAGTCTATATTAGGATGCGTAACCGATCATTTCTCCAAGGATTTTGTCCATTTTATTCTCACTGGAGTCCCATTTTCTATTCTAAACAGACGGTAGTAGTCTATTTAAGTATACTTTGTGAAAATTTCTACCTTCGAGAGTGAATAGGGTGTTTGACGGAGTGGGTTTTTCATAACCCAAACATCTGTAGAGATCTACAGTCAGTTACTTTTAGTGTTTTAGTATTTACTCATATATAATTGTTAGCAATTTTAGGATTTTTATTTATTTTATTTTTAGGTGACTTATAATTATTTTTTGTTTAAAATTTTTTAGGATGTAACCGCTGATGAATTTCAATTGTGTATGACAATTTTGGGTAGCACCAAATTGGGTACAACCATTACTGGACATGCTGAATTAGTTAATTTGGCTAAAGAGCAAGCTGAACTGAATGCAGATATTGACGCCATTACCGTTGAAGATGAAATTGTCGAACGTTTCATACAGTGTGCCACACATGCAATGCCATATTTCTCGGTGAGTTTTTATCAAACACATTTATTTTCAAAAACATAAGTTTTTAACGCAATTCCAAATCTTCTTCCCCACAGAATACCATTAAATCAACAGATTTTGTGGTTTATGTTTGCGACAAACTATTGCCATTGAGTACATGGAATATGATTGCCACTGCCGTGGCACAGGATCAGGTGCAGTTACGTGTACTTAAGGTTTTTGCTGAAATGTGTACATATACCGATGTTTTGGAGAATGCCGCACAACGTATCGATAATGTCTATCAAGTATTGAGGGTATGTTAGAAAATTCACATTTTTATTAAAATTTCAAAATTTTTATAATTAAAATTAATTTGGATTTATAATTTCAGGAATATATGCCCTTACCCAAACTCACCGAAGAGGAAGATGCTAGCAGTCCACCACCATCATTTCAATTTTCTCATGCCGAATGTTTACTCTATGCATTGCATACATTGGGTAAAAAACATCCCGATAGTTTGACATTTGTTACCGATGCTGAAAAATTAAAAGATTTCCGTTCAAGGTTACAGTATTTGGCTCGTGGTACACAGGGGTAAGTTTGTAGAACTTTGTTTTTGTATATTTTATAAAATATATTAATTATATTTGTTTTTTTTCGTATAGCTACATTAAAAAATTGGAAGAAGCTGTTAAGGGAAAAACCGCCGAAGAATTAAAGACTGAAGAAAATCAATTGAAAGTGACCGCATTGAAGACCACATCAAATATTAGCATTCTAATACGTGATCTTTTCCATTCACCACCCAGTTTTAAACATGAAATTCAGCTATCATGGGTTAAGCGAAAGAATGTAAGTAGAATACACCTTAAGCAAAAAAAAAAATAATAATTTTTATATCCCATTAAAGTTCAAAAGGGTTGGGAAAGGAAAAATATATGGCATTGTTAAATATTGGGAGAATACAGAGAACGGCCCGTATATCTTTCGAAATTTTTCTTTCAAACAATACAAGAACTGCCTCATCTGCTTGCGCAAGTACCCATGCTTTAGATCCTTATAACAGCACGGGTAGTATCAGCGTATTGTAAAGTGTGAGTTTGGTTGACGGGAGTTGGCCTTGTTGCTAAACTGCTTACTTAGACAATAGAAGCATCTGTTGGCTATCACAATCCTTCTCCGAATTTCAAAGTTGATGTCATTTGTTTTATTTATGGCGGTACCAAGGTATATTAAATCTTTAACTACCTGGAAGCTGTAGTCCTAAAGTTCCACAGTTGGTCCGAGTGTACTGGACTTCTTGCGCGTTGATACCATCAGCTTGGTCTTCTCGCCGTTTACAGCCAGACGCACTTTGGCAGAATTCTTCTCAATTTGTTCAAAGGTGGCTGTTACCGCTCGCAATGTTCGACCCATTATGTCGATGGTCATCGGCGTAGGCAAAGAACATGTGTTGTTTGGTGTACAGAGTGCCATTTCTGTTCAGAAAGACGGGTGCGTACCTTGGCTGCCACAAGGTAATGGTCCGAATTGATACACTGGATGAATGCTTTCCGTCTATAACAACATGGTCCATTTGATTTCTCGTAGCTTGATCTGGAGAAATCTAGGTGGTCTTGTGTATATCGAGATGCTGGTGCTTCTAATTACCATGTTTTTTGCTGCCGCGAAGTCAATCAACCTCATGCCGTTGTCGGATGTTTCTTAATGAAGTCTGCATTTTCCGACGATGGGACCAAAAATATTTTCCCTTCCTATTTTTGCATTAAAATCTCCTAGCAGAATTTTATTTGTCATGGCCAGGGCAGCGATCATATGCTGTTTCTAGGCGCTCGCAAAATATGCCTTTGATCTGCTCACCTTTGTGTTCGGAGCATGGGCGCCAATAAGACTGATGTAGAAGAACTTCGCTTTTATGCGAATTATAGCAATTCGCTCATCTACTGGAGTGAATTTGGGGACGACGAGGTCTTTTTTTGACCATAAATCCGCAGCCAAATTCATGTCTCGTTTCATGGCAGCTATAATACAGTGTGTAATCGTCTGATTTACTTACGCCTGTCCCTTTCCATCGGATTTCCTGTAAGGCAATAATATCTTGAGTACATCCGCCAAAGCGAAAACTGCGCCTGTTCTGTACAATGTGCGCACATTTTTAGTGCAGTTTCGCAGATCGTGGTTCTTTATACGTTTGCGGGTTCGTCAACATTAGGGGGTTTTTGGTATATATAGCGATAGGTGGTTTAGTATATATCTGCCAAAATCTGCGTACCTTTTATATTTTATTTTCCTTATTAAATTCTATTTTTTAACAACACAAATATTTTTTTTCTTTTAGACGAAAATCGGCTCGAAACGTCATGCACCCATAACATTCGATGGTAAAACCGAAAATGGCAAAGATGACGAAAAGAAAACAAAGAATGCAAGTGATCAGAAAATTTATTCACCACCATCGGGCAAATATTCGGCAAAGGTGCAAAACTATGGTGGTGGTAACAACAATCGTCAACGTTCACGCAATAGTGGTGGCGGTGGTGGTTTCAACCGAAATCGACGCAATTTTAATAAGAAATATTAAGAAGTAGAGAGGAGGTGCAACAAATTTGAAACCACAAATGATATTTTCTATTGCTGCTGCTGAACATCAGACGAAAATCAAGCAGGCAAGAATCGAGTGTGGGAGAATGAATTGGATTTCTCTCAGATGGAGTAGTAGTTTATTTTTATTTTTTAACTTACAAAAAAACTACCAACAACAAACTGAAATCAACAGCTAGTCTTTACTTACTTCTTCAACAACATTAGGATATAAAACAAACAAAAACAAAACAACCATTTCTTCTTCCTCAAAAAACAACTTTTTTTTCTACACAACACGAGCAACAAAATTGTATTTTTAATGATGGCAGAGAGATAGAGAGAGAATTCCATGTGTGACAGACAGGACAACAACGATGAAGCTTTGGATAATTTTCTTTCCGTCAGAGGAGTGGATTGAACGTGTGATTGCAAATAATTTCGAATCAAGGTAAGAATTCAAATTCTTTTCTCAATAATGTGTGTGTTTTCTTTTATTTCAGCGTAACAACAAAAACACCATCACAATTGACATTCGGAGAGAATATCTTTTGTAATTCCCATATTGTGGTATTTCAAAAGTCTACTCTCCTGAATGTCAAAACTTCAGAACAAAAATAATTCTTTTTTTATATCGTTTTCTCATCATTACTTAATTTTTTTCGATCTTTCTTTCTTGTGTAAGCCATTGTAAAAAGCTTAATTTATAAATATGCATAACTTCTTATTTTTTTTTTTGCAATTAACATTTTAAAAAAATGTTCACAATTTCTATATATATATAATTGCAACATAAATGTACTCGCAAGAAACCAAAAGAAACAAAGGGCAAACTAAATGATTCCTTATTTTTCAACATTTTAATATAATTGAAAAAAAATCACATACGAACGAGAAGAACAACTCAATACAAAACTTTTTTCTTGGGATCACATTTTTTTTAATTTTAATTTTTTTATTTTATTTTATACAATAATTTTGAACTAAATTTTGTTTTATTTTTGAACACATTTCCAAAAACAATTAAATGTTTTGTTTTGAGTTGCCTTTTCTTTTGGGAAACATTTTAATTTGATTTCAAATTCCATATAATAATTTCTACTCTGCTCTAAAAATATAAAAACAAATACAAAAACAAACAACTTTTCACAATTATATATTATAACGTTTTTAAATATACTACAATAACAAATAACAAACCAAAATCTCCCCATAAGAATTAAAAACACATTAAATATTAAAAATAAAATAAATAAACAATAAAAAAATTAATTAAACACAAAAAAAAAAAAAAAAAAAATGGATTTATTGATGACAATACTTTATGTTTAGCCCATTGATATTTTACCAAGGAAAATGAAAAATATATATATATATTTGGTTTCTTTCTCCACATAAACAATATATTTGAATTCACTTTTAGAGTTATTTAGTTGTCATTCTTTTCTCTCTCGTTTTTTTGAAAAGAATTTATCCCAATTCAAATATATAAACAGTTATTTATATTTTGAATCCAAAAAATAACAACGATGCAAATAACGAGTGTAAATGTATCGTTTTTAATCACATCCATCAGTTATAAATAAATCGAAAAAATATATAACACATATTTAATATATTTCAAAATAAAATACAATCAATAAAAACAATAAAAAACAACAAAAATTGCTGTGGTTTTTATTTTGTTGTTATAATTGATTTGCATTCGTTTTTAGAAGGATAGATAAAAAATTACTAAAAAAATGTGACCACTTTCACGACCATATCCTCAGGAGTGAGTTGGATAGGTTTAGCGAGGCAATTAAAGAGATGCAGAGTAGTGTTGCGAGCCTGTACCTCAAAATGGGATGGGGGCAAATTATGACAGTCGATATCACACCTACGTACTTAGGGAAAATATGTTGATGGTCAGCAACTGATAGCTACAACGATCGTTTGGTGATTGAAATTCTTTCTGACATTTGCTCACGAATGAAAACGAACATTCCCGAATACTCAAAACAGCAACAAGAATAACAACAAACGTTCAATCCCACGGCAGCTGGTTCTTTGTACCGGATTGACTCGGAGATGGATTCCGACCAGAGGCTGCCACCTCAACAATTACATGTTCGTGTTCGTCATTTTTGTCATGGGAGCGGCATTATATCCCGGAATGCCTGCTCCGGTCAGTGCCGGGATTGAAAGTAACCCCGGACATTGGTTCTGCAGTGTTTGCAGAATCCGCATCCACCACAGATCTGTCTCGGTGAGATGCAATGGATGTGGAGAATGGGTGCATTTTCGAGGCTGCTCAGGACTGAACAGGATCCAGGAGTACTGCGAAAGGAGTTACGTCGCTTCATGCTGCGCTAGCACGTCTCCATTTAACAGCATTTAACACCACATATTGCTGTTCCGCGCCTTGAAAATGCATCGTTTTTGCAGTTTAACTGCGACGGTCTTCGCAACAAAATCAGCGAAGTTGTAGATTTTATGAGTCGAAAGAGAATAATGGTCGGTGCGATCCAAGAAACCAAGCTAACGGTTACAACGTTGTGCGGAAGGATCGTACCAGAAGCGGAGGTGGGGGACTCGCATTCTTATTACACCATTCTGTCCAGTACAGACCTATCTCGCTTGAGCTAGACTCTAGTGACCCATACATGGAATGTATGGGGGTAGCAGTCAAGTGTGGAACTGCCGAGGTAGAGGTGCTCAATGTTTATATACCGCCGATGAATAGCTGTACACCGCGTTATTTACCGGATATCAGTCCGCTTTTAGAAGGTAATAACCGCCTGGTACTAGGGGATTTCAATGCCCACCATGAATTATGGCATTCCGTCCTAGGTAATGACCAGAGGGGTACAGCGCTGGCTGAGCAAATTGATAGCTCAACATTTTGCACGGTTAATGAGGATGCCCCCACGAGGATAAGAGGAGATTGCCACAGCTCGCCAGACATCACCATTGTGGCACCGGGTCTGATAAATGACGTAACCTGGCAACCCGTCGTTTCACTAGGCTCAGACCACCTTCCGATCATCGTCTCCGTAAACAGACCACCAGACTTCATAACCTCTGAAAGCCGTACTTTCCTGAACCATGGGAAAGCTGATTGGCCTGGCTTCAGAGAGTTTACCAATCACCGCTTCAGAGAGCTGCCCACTCCCTCAGATCCACGGGTAGCTGAGAGGAATTTCCGCAAAATCATCGCTACTGCTGCCGCTCGCTTCATACCTGCTGGTCGAATACCCGAAGTAAGACCTAACTTCCCAGCAGAAGCAACGGTATTGGCCAATGAGCGTGATGAGCTCCGTCGTACTACTCCTGAGGACCCAAGGGTGCGAGAGCTTACCCTTGAAGTCAACAGATTAGTATGCGAGCACAAAAGGAAAAAGTGGCTAGACCACCTGAAGCAATGCAACATTGCCACCGGAACGAGTAAATTGTGGGCAACGGTTAAGTCACTCTCGAATCCTGGAAGGAAAGATGACAGGACGGCTGTTACATTTAACGACGTAACTGTAACAGACCCGAAGAGGTGCGCGAGTTATTTTAACCGGCAGTTCATAGAGCACCCCGAGAGTGACAGGGCGAAAAGGAGTGTGCTACGTCGCATAAGAGCACTCCGAGCTGAGGAGGAACCACCACAATTTACGAAGGAGGACGTTGCAGATGTCATCAAGAACGCTAAATCATCCAAAGCGTTGGGACCGGACGGAATTTCCATGGTAATGCTAAAGCAGCTGGATGAACCTGGAGTTGAGTACCTAACATCAGCCCTCAACTTGTCGTTAACCACCCACATAGTTCCTGAAGCCTGGAAAATAGGCAGGGTGGTCCCGCTACTGAAGCCAGGCAAGGATGCCAGCAGGGGTGAATCGTACAGGCCGATTTCACTCCTGTCGCCGGTAGCGAAGACACTTGAGGCGCTACTCCTCCCATCGTTGAGAAGCAGTTTTCCAGTTGCCCAATACCAACATGGATTCCGTAAGATGCATAGTACAACAACAGCATTACACGCCATTTCCACACATATTAGCAGAGGACTCAACCAGAACAGGCCGTGCAACCGAACAGTTATGGTGGCACTTGACCTATCGAAGGCCTTCGATACCGTCAACCATGCCAAGCTGTTCGAGGATATAGAGAGGACGAATCTCCGACCGTGTTTGAAACGTTGGATAGTCAACTATATGTGTGGACGCCAGTCGTATGTGGAATTCAGAAACAGGAAGTCTAAACCCCGTAGAGTGAAACAGGGAGTTCCCCAAGGAGGGGTGATATCTCCGGAACTGTTTAACCTCTACCTTTCTGATATTCCACAACCACCGGACGGCATAGAGATCGTGATGTATGCGGATGATTGCACGATCATGGCGTCGGGTCCATTATTGATGATATATGTGAGAGGCTAAACGTCTACATAGCCGATATTGTTAACTACTTCCATCTGAGGAATATGAAAATATCCGCCACCAAATCAACAGCCACACTGTTCACCACATGGACGGCTGAAATGAAGCTCCCGCTGAACATAATGGTCGATGGTGAATTGATTCCGACCACCAACTACCCCAAGATATTGGGAGTAACGTTCGACAGCCTTTTCAAGTCGTCCGCGCATGCCACTGCTTTATGCGATAAGCTGAGAAGTAGGAACAAGGTCCTCAAGTCGCTAGCCGGCAGCACTTGGGGCGCTGACAAAGAAACCTTGTTGACCTCTTATAAAGCAATAGGCCGGTCAGTGGTAAGCTATGCGGCGCCAGTGTGGTTCGCGAATGTCAGTGATACGCAGTGGAAGAATATTCAGACCTGCCAGAACGCTGCCCTGAGAACTGCAACAGGGTGTCTCCTCATGACTCCAGTGGACCATCTTCATGAGGAGACGAAGATCTTACCCGTCCATCGTCACAACTATATGTTGTCGATGCAGTACCTGCTTGGGTGTTATCGTCAGGAACATCCCTGCCATAGCCTTATGGACAGGACTCCCCCACCCAGGCACGTCAGGAA